AGCACATTCCTTACAATTGGCCTGGCTGCCCCTCAGCCTGTGGAGGTGGCCACAGCTGTTCCCCCTGGCCTTGATGCTGTCCTCCTCCTTGAATCTTGGCTTCAAATGCTCTCTGGCCCTTGGTGATCCAGAGAAGGTGTGATTGGAGGGGAACTGGGGTCAACAGAGATCCCAGTCCTGGGCTAATCACTTTTTCCCGTAACAACCCTGAATTTTACAGATGGGGAATTAAGGCTCAGAGAGGCCTGGAAACTTGGCTATAGCCATTGTGCGTGGCAGGCCCAGGGAAGGAAACCATGTCTCACTATAAAGCTTCTCCCATGGGCGAGGCCATCAAAGTGTGCAGGTGGGCCTCATATGGCTTTTGGCACTAAGACCCCTGCCCTGGGAAGTTTGACATCAGAATATACCCGGAACTTGGCTTTTGTGTGACATATGTTTCATTTGTGCTGGGCTTCTGTCCAGTCCAAGTACTTATTTTTCTTACAAAGTCATCCTCTGCTGGGATTGCCTCTGTCCCGGGTGGGTAGTCACAGATGCTTGCCTCCGGTTTTTGTTTTCACTACAGCTACCCCCAACTATTTGCAGCTGGGATGTTATCTGGCGTATTCACCACAGGAATCATGACCCCTGGAGAACGGATCAAGTGCTTGTTACAGGTTAGGGTGTGATCTGGGGTGGGGGTATGTGATGTGAGGGGAGGTGGCTAGCTCTTTCCATTCAGTATACAATTTTGTGTGAATGTTTATGTCCTTTCATTCTTTATAAAGGCTTCAGGTCAAATGTGCAAAACACTTTCAGGGTTTTTGGGAATATGGAAACAATCATAATAGAATCAAGAACCAGGATAGTGTAACAGGCCAATCAAAATGTCACACCTGTGATATGTCCATCCCTACATGTCCACCCTTGTTAGCATGTACTTCAGGTGGAAGGGAGGCTGCTCTTGCCCAACATCTTCTGTCTCCACCCATTGCGTCAGGCTCAGTGACCTTACAGTGCCTGGCCTCTTGGTAGGCCAAGGGTGAGTGGGCTGCCTGGCTTACCACACAGTATTTCTTTTAAAAAAAGGAATGTTACCTCATTTTTCTTCAAATGGCTGAACTAATTTAAGACACAATTCTTGCTAGAAAATTTTGATTATGCATAGAAACACAAAGAAAAAAAGTTCCTTGTATTTATTACCCATGATACCAACCCACTGATGTAACCACTGTTACGCTTCTGTGTGAATTCTTCTAGTCTTTTTGGTAGAT